AGATTTGTGCCCAGGGGGTGCTTTGCACTGTCAGAAAAGACCTGATTTAAAGATGTCCCTGCCTTGCCCACATGTCAAGGCTTGAGTCTTCTAACTGGCTGTGGGCTCAAAGCTATTAATTTCCACAATACTGCACAAACGGGACTGTTTGTTTCCTATCATAGCTCAGAAGGGGTAGCTAGCAAACACCCAAATCCTGGTAAAAAAAAGGCTTGGGTTATGACCTTCATATATTAACAAATAATAAATGAGTGAGCAAAGCATACAGGTTTTCACCTGGGGACAGATGTTTACCACAGATCAAGTTTCTGTCTCTTAAGAGAAACTATTTGCTTCAGCAAATTAGATAATTCATGTCTGTCAACACATGGCAAGAAGGAACCTCTTTTCCTGGTGAAGATATTATTTGAGAACGAGCAATATTTAGCCTGCATCTTTGTAAGAAATACGTGCATTGCAACCATTGCCACTCTTGTCAATTTTAACTAATCTATACTAAAATCCCAGGGAAAACAACATAAAATCAGTGTTTTAGTTCTCTCTGACAAAAAATAGAATAGAATAAAATAAAATAAAACAAATCAAGGCCACTTTTAGCAGAAAAGATAATACTTAAGAAATCAATGCATAGGATAGTTAGATGCTTAAAGATAAGAACAGATTACTTAAAATTCGCTCCATTCATACATGGACATGAGTATAAAATCTTAAAAAGGAGAAAGCCCAAATTTAAGAATTGCAGAGAAAAGGATATAATTTGTAAGCAAGGAAGCTAGAATGATCAGCAAAGGATGTTATTGTTTCTTTTTTTAACATCATCTCTGATATTCTTATTTGCTGTTTTGTTTGATTTTAAAGTATACAGTTTATGGTAATTTTATATGCCAATGTCCCAATTAAAGCTAGGTTTCTCTTCAGTTTATACAATACATTAAAGTACAATTGACTTGAATTCAATGACACTGTCATACTTGAAATTGATTATAATGTCTCAAATGTGCGTTTGGAGACTGTTACCCACCAAATGTGAATAGAAAAAAATAACTCAGTTTTCGTGGGTTTACTGCAGCTGCATTGCTAGATTAAAGATAAAATATTTTTTTAAAAGTTGCATTTAAAAAAGCAAATACACTTTTCAGTCATATGATATAAAAATGTTCCAGCCTATATAACTCCTACCGCCTACTTTCTAAAAATTCCCTTGTTCTGAAGTCAGTTCAGTGGCTATTAGAAGTAGTTACTGATGTAAATTCCATCTTGTTTATGAAAACTTTTGGAACAAAGCAGTGATTGTCCAGGGCTTATAAAAAAAGTTAAAACCTATAAAATGTTGGCATTGCTACTATTTGAGGCATGAGAATGACATGCATATAAATCATAGTTTATTGGCAGACTCTTTTACACACAGAAAAAAGGCTTTGCTGAAAATGCAATTCATCGATGTACTGTAATTCCCCTCTTTTATAGATTTGTTTTTAAAGTATTCTGAATCAGGAAAAAGTCTGAAGCAAATTTTAATCTGCAGCAGGGATCAGGGGCACAAGAACTCTTTTATGACATGGGTTAGCTATGGTAGAAGGGCAGAGTAGGCAGAGTTGGGGGGATCGTGGTGGATGGAAAGACCTCGCTGTAAAGCTTTGGGAGGGAAGGTCATTTGTGTGGCTGATGTCACCCCATGCAATCTCAGCCACATCTCCATTAGCCCTGGGGACAGTAACTGGTTGCTTCATTTTATGAGAAAGAGTCCTACTGTCACCGTTTAGGAGAGGTAACAACTTGCTTAAGACTTCCACAAGAGGACTCTATCCCTTCCTACTCATGATGAGGTGGGCGAAAGAGGCCTTTTGTGCTGACAGATTTTCATCTTAACTGTGGGGGATTTTTTCTAGTGACATTTTGACAAACGTTTATCTACAGCCTCCCCACCAGGGACAAGGAGAGCAATCACACTTGGCCAAGTGTGTCAAGCCACCCTTGTGCCTTAAGCTTTGCTGGATCAACAGCTGGTGAAAACTAAGAAACTTCTCTCCTGGTCTAGGCCCTGTCATCTAGGCCAGGTTTATCTCTCTACATCCACACTGAACAAGAATTGTCATTTATTGCTTTAAAATGGCATCCTGATGGGAAATTAGTGTTTGGGTCTCACTGCAGGAAGTGATCTAATTCTCTTGGAATTTATCAGTAGCCCAGTCGTAGCAACAGGAAGACTTTGAAAGTGTTGGTCACCTAATCGTTCTAAGAATCCTTTGTTAAAAACTTCTGGTTTTAAAAGTTTCACTTTGGTTACAACCTGTAGGATAGCTGCAGCACCCTAGACTCAAAGGATATGCCCCACTGATTGGTGAAAAATCCACAGCACAAACTATTCAGGACCGTGCAATTCATGAGAATGCAGCATCCCACACTTGCATTGCTCCAGTACTAGACAACTTAAACATCACTGAAGTTGCACCAGAGTAAAACAAGAGAAACAGCAGCGAACCAGCCCAAAGATTGTCCCAGGTAATCCTTTCCTTTTTCTTTTCCAGGAGTAAAATTATTGGCAGCCACCAGGTATCAATGTTGTGATTCGCCTTGAAGTGCTGTGCTGAAGAGCAAATGCTCTAACAATCCAAGTAATACTTGGTTAAGTCGTTCTCCTGGACTGCAGGGCTTGTGGGTGGGATTCTCCCAAGTGAGAAATACAGCAATGCCACAAGACTTAGTTCTTACTATTTCTTGGAATTTTAGTCAGAGCCATAAAATTCACTGTTGGCACCTGAGTCTTTAGAAGTGCTAAGCAAATCAAGCCTAAGTCCTGCAGCTCTTCTCGTCATATGACGCTTATTAAAATACATGTGGTGAAGAGCTTCATTAATGGATTCCAGAATTTTCAAGCAGAAATAGCTAAAATAGAGTTCCTAAATCCACATCTATTTTTTTTTAAGAAGGCTATGCTCATTTTCCAATTTTCTTGAGGTTCTGAAAATGGAAAATGGTAGAGCTTTTTTTAAAAAACAAGGCAATTTATGCAGGTCTTTAATCTGAATTCTGATCTGCGTTAGGACCATTTTCTAGAGTTGTCAATTGTAGGCATCAGGACTAGTCCCATGAAGGCTAAAAGAGGCAGGGTCTCCAGCTCTTACGTGTTCTGAGTTAATCCTAGTTCTCTGGAGGTGAAATATCACAGGAAAGCTGATTACAGTGATGTACTTATGGCTAATGAGGATGCCTTCTATTCTATCAAGTTTGGAAACTTGGTCCCTAGGCTGACATGGGATATTCCCACGGGAAGCACACTATTTCCGTTCCGTCTGTCACTGATCATGTGGCATAATTTTTCAAAACCCTTCCTGTACTAAATAATTTCATTTTCAGCAAAGTCAAGGAAAAAATAGGATATCAGAAAACTGTGAAGAAAGGCTGGAAAAATCACAGGCATTTTAACAAGATTCTGGCAACTTGTGTAAGTTAGAGTGTTAGCATACATGCATAAGTCATGCCAGCTTGACGGCACACACAGCACATAATATCCACTTCCAGAAATATGTTCCAGCCCGAGGATTCTTCATTTAACATAGACAATGAATGAGTTGCATAGCTCTGCTTGCAGTTGTCTTCTGTAGTGTTTGAGAACATTTTTAATCCAGAGGATCTATTTAGGAAAGCCAAAACTATGTATACTAACTGCAGTTGCAGATCTGGTTGTGAGAGAGCTAGATAGCCTTACAGCTTGGTAAAAATGGAACATGGAGATGGGAAAGAGACATAGTTATCAGGGCAAGGACTTGTGCCTGTGTTAGAAGAGCCTGTGCATCACAGAATGTATAATTCAGCCACACTGTCCTCTACTGGCTAAGCCTGGATCTCTAAAAATGATAATGTAGTCATGCTGTTTTCATTCTTCAGTGTCCAATTTAAGGTATTTTGGCAGAATCATACTTTCAAGCAGCCTGACTCCTTCACCTCATCTCCCTCTGCCTTCAATACTTTTAAAAACTAAGAAAGCAGATCCTTTATGACTATCAAAGCTTCATGATGTTTACTCTCTGGCTCTTGTCTTAAAACTTCTGTCAGAAGCCAGGAATAATTTCAAGATGGGCAATTTCAAACAATTTAATTTATTGCCTATTAACAAACTTTTCATTACTGATTCTGATTTTTTTTAAAAAATAAAATCGTTTAGGAAAAAATATCTCAGTCCCCTCCATACACTTCTCTTCCCCTCTTTCTGGTCTCCAGTTCACTGTGAGCTACATTCAGTCCCTTTGGGGAGGTGTGTGCTGATGGAGGAGACGGGTCAGCAGATGGTGGCTGCTTTTCTTTTTCCACTCCTTGCTTCCTGCTCAGTTACTCCAGGCTGTGTTCCTCCACCAGTCACTGACCCGTCAGAGTTGAGTCTCCTGCTCAGGCAGCTTTTCTTCCTCCAGCCCCTGCTTGAGGTACTATTTTGCTTCAGCATTTCTCCGTTCTGCCATCTCTCCTCTCTCCTGCTCTGGTGTGGTTATCTATGTCTTTCTCGTCCTCCTTCTTAAACACATTTTCACGCAGGTGCCAGAAACTCTTGCAATGGATTCAGCATTGCGGGCAAAGCTGGCTGCAAGTGGCTGTTTTCGGCACGGAGTGGTCCCTGACTTTCTCCCACAGAGACCAACCCACAGCTCACCACTGCCGAAACCCTGCTGATTCTGCTCCACACACACCTCGAGCCCCACTTGGTAGTAGGAAAAAAAAAAAGTAATTATCTGGCCAACTTCTAATTTTACATTGTCTCCAATCTGGTGATTTTCTTCCTTCACAAAAGCCTTTGCATTTCTGGATGCAAACATTTCTGGTGTCTTTGGAAAGATCGGCTTGGTGAGATCCAAGATAAGGAATGTAAATGAAAGCATGCTTTTCTACAGCTGGCCAGTACATGTCCCCTGGGTGGATGTGCTGCTCCAGAGGGCTTCAGCTTGTGTCGGGCTGCTCCGGGCTCTGCACGACCCCCACAGACACCAACAACCTGTCTCTGCTTTTAGGTTCTGGACGGCAGCTGAGACCAGCCGAGCCTCCAGGAGATGCTGATGCAGATGCGGATGCAGATGCAGAGGAAGAAGATTCTGTGAGTTTTTTTCTTTTAGAGTTGGGGTTTTTTGGGGACGGGAGTTTGGCAGTTACCTTTTTAAAATAAGGTCTTAAATATTTTGTTTATAGCTGGATCTTGCTGGTGATTTTTCTCCCCATTAAAAATGTTGTATTTCTGCTGGGGATTCTGCCAGCTCAAAAGTCAGAATGGTGCTTCAATATAAAGTTATCTGCTCTTTGCCATGATTCAGCAGCATAAGTTTAATACCAAGACTTAGAACACTACTACATGGCTGTTTACTACAGTAACTTTTCCTTAAAGCTTTAGCCAGTTGAGGTTCCCTATCATTTGCTTCAACAAGGAAATACGCCAAGTGCTTGTCAGCAGAAGTTCCTGTTGGGACTCTTCCATGGTTTGCTTGGTTATAGGGGGCAGTAAAGCACGAAGCCTCAGGAGGCAAAAGATAGGTGTGTAAATACAGCAGTGAAGCAAATTTTTATTGCCTTTTTCAATTATTACTAATCGATCCGTCAGTATTTTCAGTCTGCTCACCCCATATATGCGTACAATACATAAAGAAAACAAAAGTCAGCATATCATTGGTTTTGCCACTCAGGAGCCTATCCCTTGTGGTCTTGAATAACATCTTTAAATGAGAATTGTTTTTGTTCTTGACTTAAGGAAAGAGTTATTGCTTATTCTATATCCACGTTTAGTAATGAAACTTTTGTACACACGTGACTATACCTAAGTAGAAAAACTCTCCTAAAAAATAGGTCACTGTTTAATAGTGGATCTTCCTTTCCCACCACTTTTTTTTCCACAGGTTATTGAAGTGGCAGTAGAAGACATTCGTCCAAGGCCACAAGGATCCTCTCCAGTTTATGAATATTCCATAGAAGAAGAATATTTAAAGGCAAGACACCGAGTTCTCATGAAGACATGATTTTACCAAGTTTCAGGAAGCCTTAGCTCCTACAACTAGCTGAGACTCACATGTCATGTAACAGGATGTTGTTGGAGCCATATTGTCTTCCTGTCCCCACTAAAATCAGAGCCATGTTCATTGATGATTTTATATTATACTGAACTTATTCTTGGCCATGTTCTTGGCTTCATTCCTTGAAAAACCTGGGACAGAAAATGTCAAGTAAACACAATGCTATTTCTATTAGAATATTTGACTGGCTTGAATCTAATATATTTCAAAATTACCTGTATCTCTTGGTTATTCAAAGATTTAATTAGTACAGTCATGTTAAGATGAGTAGGCAACAGTTTGAAATTCATGCTGAAGTCAAGTAAATGAAAAAATTTATGTTCACAGAGACAAAAGCATGAAAAATGTGATAGATGAGGAGCACTCACAAAGGCTCCCAATGCCTTAATACAGTTGGTCTCTGGTGTTGATTTAATGCAAATTTTGGTACAATGCAGGGAGGTCTTGGCATCTAATTTACTACTGGGAATAATATAGTTAGGTCATTCACATTTTACTTTGCACTTGTAGATCCCAATGTTACTCTGCTGCCATTAAAGTCATCCTTAGTTCTTAGTCTAAACCAGGGATTTTAACTGATGTAGGCCTTTTCTTGTACTTTACAACAGCATGAGTTCTGAACACTAAATAATTGCAAATTGTTTTCAGCTTCAAGAAGAAAACAAAAAATATTCTACAGACAAATCAGAACAGTCATTCACAGATCAGTCTAAAAGCACCCCATAGTTTTAGCCATATGGATGGCCAAAATAGTGAAGCCTATTACAGTGCACAGATGTGGATGTGGATGGAGGGAAGGACAAATAGGCAAATAATCAGTTTAGACTTGTTTTCACCAGGATCTTCACAAATTACCTAAATGTGTCACAAGCATGAACACTAACTTTTCCTATTTAGCATTCTTTAGCCTTTTCTGCTTGAGTACAGTACAGCATTAGCTCTCAGTCTGACTTTTCTGGCCCGTTGACTCTAATCCAGGTGCTTAACATCTTCGCAGAAAATACAGTTTTTCAGCCGTGAAAGATTCCATATGTTTCATGTTTTAAAATTACAATCTATTTTCCCCATAGTCCTAATCCATAACATGAACACATGTGCTTAATTCTAATTTAGAACAGAATCACACCCACACTGAACAAGTCATTCTCTACTTTAGATAATCATCTTTGAGCTAAACAAAATATACCTCAGGAAACTCAATTTTAATTGTAGAATAATGTAGAACACTTTGATACAAATTAATAAAAGTTATGAATTCACACCTTTTTCTATATCTAGGAGACAATGGAAGTGACCCTGAAAACAGAAGTGGAAGCTGGTGCTAGTGGCTTTAGTGTGACGGGTGGAGGAAATGAAGGCATATTTATTAAAAAAGTACTTAAGGAATCTCCTGCTTCAAAAATATTTAGTCTGAGAGAAGGTACAGTCTGATTTTCTCTTTTGTGGTGTTGGTTTTTCTTAAAAAAATATATCTTAAAATAATCAGGTATGTAACTTTGTGTACATATATATTACTGCCTGACCTGTTATCTCTTTAGGTAATAGAAACAGGAGATCCCAAATGAACTAATATTATATGTGAGCTTAACCTTTCCATATTAATAATTTCAAAGATCACTTTCTTAAACAGTAATGAAATGTGATTTTTTGTGTGTTACTTAAAGAATTATCTAATATTCACTGAAACTGAGAAAAAGATACATAGAAACTAGTGTATACACAACTAAAATGGAAAAAACCCAACCACCTAATTCATAACATTCATGAAAAACCTCCCTTTAATTCTTTCACAAAATAGTATGCTGCAGAACTTCAATAAATATTTAAACAAGAACAAAAGTCCAAAGTATATATATATTGAATAATGTAGGAAAAAACTTTGTTACTGTCAGGGTGGTCAGACATTGGAACGGGTGTGCCGGAGAGCTTGTGGAGTCACCATTCTTGGAAAACTTCAAAACCGGCCCACATATCTGAGCAGCTGTAGCTGACCCTTCCCTGAGCAGGACGGCTGGACTAGATGATCTCCAGAGGTCCTTTCCAGCCCTAACTGTTCTGCAATTCTGTTATGTGAATATAATTTCATATTTTATATAAATAGGATGTGATTTTTTAAATTTTTTTTTATTCATGTCTGATTCCACTTGCAGGCGATCAGCTTCTAAGTGCTACAATATTTTTTGATAATATCAAATATGAAGATGCACTCAAGATTCTCCAATATTCCGAGCCATACAGAGTCCAATTCAACCTCAAAAGAAAAATTACTGGGAAAGAAGAGCTAGAACACATTCACTCTACAGCTCAGTACAAAAAGGAAAGAATTAGCCAGGTAGATATTTGATTAATTTACAAAGTTTGAGTAACACTGTAGTAATGTGTTGCGTGGAAACAGACCAGAAAATACACACTTGTGACTTCTTAAGACTTAGGCATGTGTTTAAATTTACTAGCATGAGTATTCATGAGAAGAAAAAAATATTTGCAGCTTTTGAAATAATCTGGCAAGACTATAGATTTTGGTTAACACCACAGTCTTGCATTAGGGTAAAAAAACATTGTCTAGTAAATCAGCAATTTTTTGTTGTCATTAAGCATCCACTGATAGAAGGGGTTCAGATAAGTTCTGTAATATTTATATTGAATATTTCCCCAAATACCAGTAAATATTTTTCTAAATGGTATTTTCTCTTAAAAATATACGTTTAATCGCTGATATTTCCATAGACAGGATCTGCTCATAGGTCTCTGTCACATTCAAAATTAATTTTCCCTGGATATATATAAATGTTGTATATATATTTGTACAGACAGAGACAAAATAAGAAACCTCTATTTACTGCAATGTTTTGCAAAGAACTTAAACCTTCAGAAATCTACATATTACAGTCATATAAGTCATTGTTTTTTGTAATGTCTGCCTGAATTATAAACATAATTTTCAGGATTTTCTTATGTAACAAGTAGATATTGTGAACAAACCCCACTTTTTTCTACATATTTTATGGTATATATTTTACATGGTGTTGCATCTATATATTGCTTACTATTAATCTTCCATTATTTGTTCTTTCAGGAAAAAGAACTCAACGAGAGCATTCCTGAAGAAACACTACATGTTTCAGGAAAAAACATTTCAGACGAAGATAGGGAAACATTAATTGCAAGCCAAAGGGTAGGAAGAAGCAAGAGACCTAAAAAAGATAGATTATCATGGCCAAAATTCCAGTCAATTAAAAATAAGAAGATACTGGGACACAGAAGATCTCATAGTACATCAGATGCATATGAGCCTACTATACAGGACATTTCCCCTACAAGCACAGACACAGAGTCTCAATTTCAACAAGAAGTCCATATCAAAGAAAAAAAAGGAAGCCAAAAGAAATTGAAGTTCCCTAGCATTGGATTCAAAATGCACAGATCTAAACCAGAACCACAAGACAAGCAGAAAAAAGAAATAAAAGCGACACTATTACCTGAAAAAGGAAAAATACATAAAGAAGAAATCAGCCTGGAAAATCCTGAAATCCTAACGGTTGAATATACCACATCTTCTGATTATGAAACTAAAACAGAGGAGGTGCATGAAACTTTAACAAAAGACTTAAAAGATATGAAAAATGGCATTCGATCTCATGCAAAAATATGCCCTGAAGTTGAAATAAGCATTAAAAAAGAAAAAGACAAGGATTCAACATCAAAATGTACTGAAGTAACAGCTATAACAACAGAGATATCAAAGCCTAGTTTAGAAACACTTGATATGAAAGAAAGCCCAACTAAACAAACACCACAAGCCTCATCAAAATCCCGTAAAAAGAAACAAAAAGAAGCAGCAGATAAAACAGAAGGAGAAAGCAGATTTAACATAGATGTAACAGGTCACAAAGCACAAGGATCTATACAGGTAAAAGGTCTAGACATAGGCACTGCTAAAGCAGAATTACACACAACATCTGAAACACTGGAAAAAGAAGGAAAGGAAACAGAAGAAGACACACAAATGCTAACAATTCAGAAGACAGAATTTGAGCTTTCGATACCTAAAAGAAAAGAGGGAGAGATTGAAAAGACCAAATCAGGAAGTGATGTTCCACATTTGGTGCCAGAAAAAACAGCTGATGGAAGCTTTAGCAGGAATTTGGATGTGAAAACTCCCATTCCTGATGCAGAATCAGAAATATTGACTTGGAAAATACAAATGCCATCATTGAAAATGGCCAAAACACCCAACGCTGACATGAAAATACCAAGAGAAGAAAGTGCAATTGAACCAGTAGATATCACAAAAAAGGCAAAAATGGAAGAAGATAGTACGCCCACAAGTGAAAAAATGTTTAAGATGGATATTAGCATGAAGAGAGGAGAAAAGGATATAGAGGCCAAAGAAAGCAAATTCAGACTGCCAAAGCTTAAATTACCTGCATTTACCTGGGTAACTACAAAGGATGAGACAGGACAAACTGGAGGTCAGGTTTGTGAAACGGAAGTAAAAGTGCCATGCATAGAATCAAGTGCAAAAGCAGAAATGAGTGTATCAGCAGAGGAAATGAAGATTCCAAAAGCAAAAATTGAAATTGAGATCTCCAAAGAAAAAATAAATGAAGAGGATAAAAGGCGAAAGCCAGAAGTCCAAATAACAGGTCTGCAAATAGAAACAGGAAAATTGACCTCAACGCAGAATCACTTGGAAGAAACAGAAGAAAAAATCCTGATTAGAAAAACAGATATTAAAATAACAAAAAGTCAAATTAGCATACCATCAAAGAAAGAAGAAGAAATTTCCCAAAATACTCAAACTGAGATTAGAAGGGCCAAGGTGGACATCAGCCTCCCGGCCATTGACATCAGCCTTCCAAAGGCCAGCGTCGACGTACAGGCGCCTGAGGCCGCCATCAGCCTCGAGGGAGAAGAAAAAGCACCGGAGAAGGAGGCTGCAAAGACCAAGGATGGCAAGTTCAAGATGCCAAAGCTCGGCATGCCTTCCTTTGGCTGGTCCAGCAGCAGGGAGGCCAAGGGCCGCGTGGCCGCCGATGTGGACGTCAGCCTCAAGGAGCCCCAAGTGACAATGCCCTCAGGAAGTGCCGGCATCGAGGTGGCCCTGCCCACAGCTGAGATCCAAGTGCCCAGCGTTGAAGTGACCCAGCTCGCAGCCGAGATCCAAGCGCCCAGCGCCGAGGTGGCGCTGCCTGCAGCCCAGATCCAAGTGCCCAGAGTGGAGG